TAAAATTAAAGTTTGTTTTTAAAAATATTTCGAATTTCAAATTTTTATATTTTTCACCCCACACCATCCCTACTCGCGACCCCCCCCCAAAAAAAACAAAAATTTAAGTTTGTTTTTTTAAAATATTTTTAATTTCAATTTTTTTATTTTTTTACCCCATCTCATCCCCCCCCACCCCACCTCCCCCAAAAAAAATTAATATTTTTTTAAAAATATTTTCAATTTCAATTCAAAAATTATTTTCTACTCTCTAGTAAAAAAAAGAGATATTTTGTCAAAAATAATTTTCATTCATAAATCAAACATTAAAAAAATAATTCCGAAAAATATTTTCTACTCACTAACCAAACATGAGAAAATAAGTCAAAAATGTACTTGTTTTCCAGGAAAATATTTTCTAGGAAAACATTTTCCTTCATACCAAACACACCCTAAATCTAGCCCACACCTATAAAAAAAAAATTTACATTTCCTTGAAAAGGTGTATTCAATATCCTATAAACTCTTGAGCATTAATAAAAGGGAAAAGGCTCAAATATGCCATTGAACTTTCAGAAAAGGCTCATTTATGCCATCCGTTAAAAGTTTGGCTCATCTATGCCATTACCGTTTAAGAAAAGGCTCATTCATGCCATTATTTTTTAACAGTGGTTTTGCAAAACCATTTTTTACACGTGACCAATTATAATTCGGCCATGACATTAATTTTTTTTATAAAAAAAATTGAAATTCTGAACAAAAATTGAATTAAAAAAATAATAATGACGTGGCCGAATTATAATTCAATTTTTGTTCAAAATTTCAATTTTTTTATAAACTATAATTCGGCCAGGTCACTATTTTTTTTTTAATTCAATTTTTGCAAAACCATTTTTTACACGTGGCCAATTATAATTCGGCCACATCATTAATTTTTTTTATAAAAAAAATTGAAATTCTGAACAAAAATTGAATTAAAAAAAATAATAATGACATAGCCGAATTATAATTCAATTTTTATTCAGAATTTTGATTTTTTTTTTATAAAAATAATAATGACATGGCCGAATTATAATGGGCCACGTGTAAAAAATGATTTTGCAAAACCATTGTTAAAAAATAATAGCATGAATGAACCTTTTCTTAAACGGTAATGGCATAGATGAGACAAACTTTTAACGGATGACATAAATGAGCCTTTTCTGAAAGTACGACGGCATATTTGTGCCTTTTCCCTTAATAAAAATATTAAGTCATCAAATATTATCTTTCTCAGAGCTAAAGTGATCAAGATGTGTTCTTCCTCAAGATCAACTCGATATATCAAAGTGATGCCCATCATTTTTTGCGATCAAATACATCACAAAGAGGTCCAAATCATCTTTGTTTGAGAAATACGTTACTATCTATACTCGAATCAAGAAGGAAATATTTTATGAAAGAAAAATTAAGAGAACACACAAAATTATATTCATAATCTTGCTAAATAAAATTACTTCTATTTATTTATTTATTGATTTTGTGATTACAATTTTTTTTTTGATAAAACTATTTTTGGTGTCTACATATATTTTTATTAATTTATGTCAAACTTTTCATTTAAACGAAAATGAATACGCAAAATACCATTACACTAGTAAAAGAAGGAAAAAAGGAATAGAAAACGTGGACGGGAGTCTAGGGGTGTTCACGGATTGGTTATTAGTCAAAATCAAAATTAAATCAATTTAATCAATATTTAAGTTATCAAAAACAATCACCAAATATAGTATACACTTATCGATTTGATTTGGTTATTCGGTTGTTAACTATATACAAAAATAAAAGAAATGATTCATTCAAAAGAGGGAAAAAAATAATTCATTCAAAATGGAAAATAATTAAAACGACTCATATTGTAGAATTTTTTATCACCAAATTTACTATGAATAAAACTTCAAAATTCATCATTTGAGCCTAGAAGGAAGAGACAATGACATTCTAGTCCCACAAAGAATTGTCATAGACACTTATATAAATGAAACTAATAAAATAAATATTCTCATCTTGAACGTTTTTGCTTTACATAAATAATTCAGATGAAAACTTATATAAGTTATTTAAAATTATTTATAAAAATAATATATTATGTATGTATAATAATAAAATATATGTACATAATTTATCGATTCGATTCAATTATTTCTTTAATATTTTTTGAGAAAAACAAAAATCAAATCAAACATTATCAATTTATAAAATTCTAAAATCAAACCAAATTCAAATAAAATCAATTTAATTCGATTTTTCGATTTAAATCAATTTTTATCCAAACGGTTTCGCCCTTACCCCTAACGGGAAGTTAGGCTGTTGAGTGGCATTAAACCAAAGGACAAAAAAGCGTAAAAGTAGCGGGGCTGACGTTGGTAATAGAATATAGGAGAAGGGGGTAGCATTTACCTTCTTCATCGAAATCCTCCAGGAGGGGTCGGCAAAAAAAATGGCTGGCAGGTCTATGTGGCGCGCCACAACCAAGCTGTTAGTGGCCACCACCCCCCCTGGCGGGGGGCCAACGGGGGGCGC